AAGAAGAAGAAGAAGAAGAAGAAGAAGAAGAAGAAGAAGAAGAAGAATTCTTTTATTGGCCAAGTGTAAATTGGACAGACAAGGAATTTGTCTTGGTGCAAATGCTGTCAGTATACATAAAAGAAAAGATACATTCATCAAGGGTCAAGGTACTGCAAAAGTACATATACTTAATAATAGTCAATAGTCAATAAGCAATCAAATCATACTAGGAAACACTCAATATAAATTATAAAGATACAAGTGACAAAATTAGTCATACAGTCACTAGTGGGAGGGGATTGGTAATAAGGAGTGATGAGAAGATTAATAATAATACTAGTGCAGACTTTGTAAATAGTTGGACAGTGTTGAGGGAATTATTTGTTTAGCAGAATGATGGCGTTCAGAAAAAAACTGTTCTTGTGTCTAGTTGTTCTAGTTCGCAGTGCTCTGTCGCGTTGTTTTGAGGGAAGGAGTTGAAATAGTTTGTGTCTAGGATGAGAGGGGTCTATAAATATTTTCACAGACCTCTTTTTGACTTGTGCGGTATACAGGTCCTTGATGGAAGAGAGGTTGCCAAGCATCTGAATTTTCATCAATGACCATGGGGAACTGCAACACTTATAAGGGTTAAGAAATGTTCATAAGTATCTTTTTTCAGTTCTACTGGAACTTTGAACAGCGAGTAAATTAACTGTTGTAAATTGAGGTATATCTAATCCCTACCTACTAGATTATAACATATGCATTAAAACTCTGAAAACAGGATCCAGAATAGAAGACATGCAGTTTGGAGCACTAGTGCCAAAAATACAACCACTTGCGATATTTACAGATCAAAATTACATTTCTATGAGTTGAGCATTGTGCTTCAGCAAGCAATAGGCTGAGTTTAGCAAAATGTTTTCTTTTCCTACCACATTTGCCCTTTTATAAGGTGAAGACAATAGTCTCTGATCATGTAGTCTGGCTATACATTGATTTGCATGACGATTGGGATGAATATGGTAGATCATCAGAAAGGTGGAATAAAGCATGTGGTAAATATTGTCCTGTTTGCTGGTTACTGAAACAGACTAAAAAACCCAGGCTGGGAATTTCAGGTCACAGAAGAAGATTCATTTAGCAAAAGCTATATTGATGGTTAAAAATCATTTTTTATGTTATACTATGTCCATCCATGGATTGGCAGTGGTACAAGTACTTGGCATTGGATTTAATACACTCAAGGAAGGATGTCTTTAGGCAAGCATGTTGAATCATTTCTAATTGTGAAACAACACTGGTATGGGGTATCTCAGGGTAGATTACTAGATCCATGTTTAATTTCTGGCCAAATAACACAACATATAATTTACAAGTTTTGCCAAAAATCTTTACACAATTTAGGGCAATTTTTTTTTTTGGTATAGTCTGTCTTAATTTTCCAGCTTGTGTAATGAGGAGGATATAGCTTAAAATAATTTTAGTATGAACTACAATGGTATCTCTTTTATCTCTGAGATAATTCTGGATATTTAACATATGTAGATGATTGCATTAAGTCTACATAGTGTTTAGTGACACACATTACTCATTACAGAATAGTATTCATTGTGTTCCTAATTCTGTTAATTGCTATAGCTATATAGCGCAGCACAGCACAGCACAGAATAGAATAGAACTTTTTATTGACCAGGTGTGATTGGACACACATGGAATTTGTCTCTAGTGCATAATTTCTCAGTATACATACAAACAACAAAGTGATATGTCATACATGATAGCACGTAGCATATGCTATATATTATACACTATATACTATAAGGCAAGATAGTGTAACTATAGGAAGAGTCAATGATATTTGAAAGCTCACATGTATGTTTTATCATTTGTGTTTATATACACGTCACAAACTACTCTGTAACACTAAAATGCAAGAGAAGTAGGGGGATACTCTTCCATTAGCACATCCTGATTATTAGCTATTTTGATATTTCTCATTTTGAAGAGCTAACATGACAAAATAATGTTGGAACCAGTTATTGCCTAATTTATATAATACCCAGTATTTTTTGTGAAAAAACAGAATTGTAGTATAGGAGACTGCCTAGAGCCCGTACAAAAGGAAACATGATTACATAATCCCTAAATGGCTAATAGATGCCAAGCTGACTTTATCTACTATGGGTCACCTGCTGATGGAAAGAGCAGCTAAAGACATCAAAATTCATATAACTTACTATTTGAGTCTGCTAGTTCAATAGTAGCTTCATAGTAGTATAGTTAAGGGCATCTTCAGCTTGTCTTATACATGGGTTGAGTAGGACAATACTCATATGTGAGTAGGACAATATGCTGGAGACCATGCAGAAAAAAGTTGATGCCAGGTATATTTGTATTATAATTAAGTGAAAACAGATAAACAGAGTTAGATCACAGATCAATCATACAGATATTGGGAGTGTCACAATCTCTTGTTATTTGAAAATTAGAGAGTGGAATATCTTTGTTCATGATCGCCCAAAATTCACTTCCAATTATGAAATTTTCTACCAAATTATGTTTCAATTATGTAAATATGGTCTGGAAACCAGTGTCTCAATAAGTAAATAAGTAAAATAGGGATATTATAGCCATTAATACTTATTCATGGGAAATGCTGGTTCTATCCTCATTGAACTCTTGACAATGAAGTCTTTGTCTGACATTGCTGATCAAGCTACTAAATACTGCCTCAGGGCTTTTGTCTGTAACATCTAGTAAGGTCATTGAATCAAAGGGAGAGGAAAAGGCAGGGTGGGAGAGGGGGCTTGAGAGTTAAAACACAACAAACAAGGTGTCACTAAACAGAGGAAAGTGCTGAGGCTGTATTGGTCAGAAAGCAGCTTTTGTACATGAGTGCATATGTAATTCAAATGACTACCGATCCATCTAAAGAACAACTAGTAGGTTTAGTGGTAACAGAGATAGTGCACAGCCAGAAAAAGAACAAGGTTTGTAGTCTCATGCTCTCTTTGATCTGTCAGTTTCCCTATGTCTCTTCTCTTTTTACTTCATATTTTGTCTCTGTAATTTTCATTTGACTCCTCTGTTTCATTTTCCTATACAATATTCCCTTCCTTTGTGGGGTGGGATGGGGAGAGAATGCTGCATGGAGTCACAGTGCATCCGGTGCCCATCTGGTATTTTTGGAATTAATTTCTCATCACTTCTGGCTAAGCTGGCCCCCATCAACAGATTATAGAAGTTCTGGTTCAAAGCATATGAAAGTTGTCAGATTGCCTATACCTGGTGCTCATATTCTTGGTCTGTTTTCCCTCAAGAACCCATAAAACAGTGTACAATCTAAAAGGTCTCCAAATTTCATTTCTTTGGGAAGGTCATGGGAGATGAATTATTGTAATCCTTGAATTTATTTATCAAAGTATAGACTGAATGAATATTCTTAAGATCAACATTCATGATTCATGCAGATTGACGGAAGCATTTCTACCTGGGGGATTTCCCAGAGCTTACAATGCTTCCTTTTCTTTCTCCCCTCCATGACTAATATTGTAGTAATAATACTATCCTTAACTTATAAGTCGAGAGACATTAAGGTATACATTAATATTTCTTGCTATAACAGCTCATTTTCTTTTCAGATATTTGCTTAAATAAAATATGTGCATGGCGTGCTTTGCCAATGACTATTAAGAACATTTCTGGAAACCTTTAAATCAATTAATCCATCCTGTTCAATCTTCCAGTAGCACTAACTGATTATAGTGATGTATGTGATATATGTGAGTGCCACTGTTACTTACCAAACCTATTTTTAATGTAATCGGTGATGAATGAAAGGATGTCCTTCCCCCTGCATGTTTGATCAGAGTCTCTCTAGTTACGGTCAAAATGTATTCATGAATTGGATGATTATTAAGATAGTTGGAGTCTGCAATGTAAATACACCTGGCATCCAAATTCTCTGCTCAGTGCTTTGGATATTCTTCTTGAATTGTAGCTGCGATGGGCACTCGCCATTTTCCTGGCAGAACTGTCTTATTTGAAAAGGAAATAAGTGGAATGACTTACCGAGTGCCAGCATTACTCTACATCCCATCTGTAGCCAAGCTCTTGGCTTTTGCAGAACAGCGGCTTAGTGTGGATGATGCCGATGCCAATTTATTGGTGCTAAGAAGGGGTACTTTCTACATGAACGCCATGCAGGTAAGACAAAGCAAAAACAGCTTTCCCCAAACTTGGATAGCAGGACTAGATATTAGGGACAAAAGCAGGAAGGTGTCTCTTATGAATACCTGACTCCATACTGCTACTTCTTCCTAGCACTTCACTAATCTGTTACTGTGCTGGGATGTCAAGGGGAGAATGTAGGACAAGGCTGTCAAACTCCGGCCCATGGACTGGATGCGTCACGCGCTGACTACACCCATGCCTGGTTTAGCAAAGGGGGAAAAAGTCCTGATACATCATGTGACACTGCCATGACGACGTGAGTTTGACAGCCCTGATCTAGGACTTGGTCCCAGCCTACATGGAGAAACCCAGCTGGAAAGAACTATAATAGTCAGCATTCACTGCTTGATAATAGAGCCAGTCCATATACGCAATGGCTAGTTATTACATGCTTTCACATCCTGCACTTGGTAATCTTTTGCCACTTGAACAACCTTGTGCCAGGTACAATGGGAGGCGCTTCGAAAAATAATTAAAAGATGGCCAAAATCTCATCCTTCCCAAAAGATTGAACTGCTGCAAAATTGTATTGACAAAACCGTGCATTTAAGCAAAAACTGTACAAGTAGTCCTCGACTTGCAGCCATAATTGAGCCCAACATTTCTGTTGCTAAGTGAAACATTTGTTAAGTGTATCTATCCCATTTTATGCCCTTTCTTGCTACAGTTGTTAAGTGAATCACTGCAGTTGTTAAGTTAATAACACAGTTGATAAGTGAATGTGGTTTCCCTATTGACTTTGCTTGCCAGAAGTTTACAATATAGGGGGATCACAGGACCCTGAGATGCTGCAGGCATCATAAATGTGAATCAGTTGCCAAGCGTGTGAATTTTGATCATGTAACCATGGGGAGGTTGCAATGGCTGTGTGAAAAACAGTTGTAAGTCAATTTTTTCACTGCTATTGGCACTTTGAACAATCACTAAGTGAACTGTTTTAAGTCGAGGGCCACCTGTATTGAGGAAATCATGCATTTAAGCAGACTCTTATTATTTCAGTCTCCTTCTCCTCATTGGTAAATGGTCTATAGTCAGAGTTACTGGATGAATGTTTTGTTTTGTTCATTCTTAAAAGAGCTTACTATCTCATTCTCCTCCATGTGCGTTAACTTAAACACCCTGTCAGGTGCTTTTTTTTTGTTGATGTCAGGAGGACAAAGGAGGCTGTTCCAGTACATCCCATCAACTGTTGAGCCTTTATTCAGTGATGGTTGATCCCTCAGCATTCTTAGAGGTGTATTTATCTGGCTTACTATTTGGAAGATGAAGCTTTTAGGCTTATAAGCAAAGGGGAATAGAATTGCTGTTCTTCAAGGATGATATTTCTGTCTAATAAGTTAGTAAAAAGCATGTACAGAATATGTTTATGTTCTTCTGGAAAAAATCAGAGGAGACAAAAAACCCTTGACAGAGGAGGTTAAACATATTCTCCTGGTCGCAATCAATTACGTGATATTTTGACAGCAACATTACTCTGTTTATCACAAATAGTTCTGCAAATCATAGGTAATAACCTAATTATTAACATGCATAGTTATTCTTAGATGAGGAAAAGGCACTTATTGGATGGGTTTTAATATACATGTGAAATTTTACCTAAAATAAATATTATTTAGATAATCTTGAGTCTCCTTACCTTACTTGAACTCACCAACTGTGAATGTTAGATAGAAGATAGCAAAATTACAAGTTAATGGGGTCTCATCTCAAAATAAGCAGCATAAAAGTTCTAGCTAAACAAGAAAGTTAAATCTGGGGTTCCAAAATTCTTTGGGTGTCTTTTTTTTTTGCCAGTGGGAAGATATGCAAACCATTGAAACAGCAACTCTGATGCACCATCGATCTATGAACCCTTGCCCCATCTATGATGAAGTCACTGGCATGGTGTTCCTATTTTTCATTGCTGTGTTGGGCAGGACTTCTGAAGTCTTCCAAATTGTCACAGGTCAAAATGCGGCTCGCCTCTGCTATGTGTTTAGTTCCAACCAGGGCATCAGCTGGAGCCATGTGACTGATCTCACTGAGGAAGTTATTGGCATGTCCATCCAAGGTACAGATATTTAATAGTACCTACAAAAAAGAGAGAGCACAAGAGCAAAGATGAGATGGGGTATCAAAGAACAACAAAAATATTAAAGACTCTTGTTGCATTCACACATTTATTGTTAGACTTTATCAAGATTTTAGTTACCTTCTTTTAGGCTTGCATCAAGGAAAGAGTTTCTATCCCCTTGGACAGAATGGATTAACCAGGTCACAGTTAAGATAAGGATGTCATTGTTCTGTTCTGGATATATAATTATCACAAACTGTCATTTTTCGTTTTTTAAATCAAAAGAAAGTTGGAAACAATTGGGCAAGGAAAACTGGGAGCCTGTCCATCTCTGCCAAATAGCAAGCTAATTCTCTGAAAGCCGAACAGAGCGGGACCGTATTTGGTGATAGTGGAAGAAAGTGGAAGAAAATGGAAGAAAGGCTAGGAACCAGAAAGATCTCCAAAACTCCAGAAAGAATTCTCCCAATAAATACTTACAGGAGAGGCAGTTGTGTTCCATCTTCTCTGTTATTATCCCCCTTTACTCCAGAGAATATGACCCAGAGTGGACATTAAGGAGCCAGAAAGAATTTCAAAGCAGATCTCTAGAGGTTTTTGTCATCTTATTGTATATAACTGTTTCCTGACTTTTCTGTTCACAACTCTTCCCTTTTGTCTCTTTATAAATGACCCATCCACCAGCTAAAATTATTATGGAATGTAGTGTCCAATCTGAAGCACATCTGAAAGTGTGCAACCTTTAGCTTCAGGATCACATAGTGCCCCCAAACTGCTTTGCTGCAACTCACTAGAACCCTTTCTAACTATACTATAAATTCAGTGATAACTTAATTTGCCAATTTGAAGCAGGAAACAACATGCACATGAATACAAATTATCATGTGGGTGCCGAAATAGCTTTAGCAAAATTTGAGAAGTAAAACAGTTAAAAGTAAAACATTGAAAGATCTGCATGCACAAGGCAGGCCCACACATTTTGTAAAATTGCAAATACAGCTTGACATTAACCTGCCCATTATAACCTTCGGATCCCCACTCTGCAAGAGAAAAAACAACAATCTTAAATGTGGTTCTTGGCCTCTGAAATGTGTGATTTATCAGGTAAAATATGGCTGTTGAATTTTGCTTATGAATTCTTTGCCATTATCTGTCTATCATCGAAATGTCACAAGTCTCTTAATTTTATGTCTGCCTTCCTTCTAGACTGGGCTACTTTTGCCCTTGGCCCTGGACATGGCATTCAGCTCAAGTCAGGCCGTCTGCTCTTGCCTGCCTATATGTATTATATTGACTGCAAAAAATGCTTTGGAAAACTCTGCAAAACAACCCCACATGCATTTGCTTTCTACAGTGATGACCATGGGCAGAGCTGGTTCTTTGGTGAGTTTGTCCCCAATCTGAAGACTCTTGAGTGCCAAATGTTGTCAGTGGATGAAGAGGATGGAAGCCATGTGCTCCTGTGCAACGCTAGGAGTCCTTTGGGCTTCCGGGTTCAGGCACTCAGCACAGATGGTGGGGCAATATTCCAGTCAGGGCAGCTGGTACCTCAACTTGTAGAGCCTCCTCATGGCTGTCATGGAAGTATCATTGGATTCCCAGCTCCACTTTACTGCATGCATCATGGCATCCAAGTGTCCCAGAGGAAAGCATGTCCTGTTAAAGGGCCAGGTCTCTCATTGCAACATGTGATATGTGAGAAGTCCAATTTTTGTCCAGCACAGCTTACTACTTCTCTGCGCAATCATTATTTATGCCACCAGCAGCTGGAAAGGTTTATATCAGCTGCAACTTCTGGTGGCCATCTCAGTAGCGCTGTTAGTCCCATGTCTTGGAATATGACATGTACTCATCAAGATCACAATAGTGCTGAAACAGTTTCCAAATCAGATACATATTTTGAAATCCCAACATGGGTTCTGTACTCCCACCCAACAAGCTCCAGATCCCGCGACAACTTGGGAATATACCTCAACATATTTCCTAAAGATGTTGACAGCTGGTCTAAACCCTGGATTATTTATGAAGGACCCAGTGCTTACTCAGACTTGGCCTACATTGAGTTGTCTTATTCAGAGTTCTCAGCAACTGGGATCCCAGCATTTGCTTGTCTGTATGAGAATGGGATGCAATCCCCATACGAGCAAATATCCTTTAGCATGTTTACATTGCACGAAGTTCTTCAGAACATTCCTCTAATAACTTCTTCTCTCAGTCAGGAGCAATCCTCAAACTGTAGAAAGAGAAAGGGGAAAAAGTGTGCCATTTTGTAAACTGAAGGTTAACCTAGATACTTTTAGATCTCATTCATCCTAATATAAACATTGGGAAATACATTTTGAATACAATTGTGTATATATTATGTGCAGAATAGAATTGGATTGCAAAATTCAGATAAATTAATGCAAGATGCATGTAATTACAAAGTCACGTCTGCTTTGGCCTTGTTAAGAGACTGACAGCTAAGCTTATTTATAGAAATATTCCAGAATATATTTAAGGATGCTAGCTTGGGTTTGCCACCTGCTGGCTAAAACACCCTACTAAATGGCAGAAGGGGTACATTTATTTACAGTAAATAAATTCTGGCTATTTCCAGTTTCTGGTTTCCTTCCTTTCCTCTCTAAAGTTGTGGGATTTTTTATTTTTATTATTGTTGTTGTTGTTGTTATATACAAAAATGACAATATACACACCAAACGAGATTACTATGCTGGGTTTCGTATTACAAATCACTAGTTGAACACTTCCCAAGTGTTTAAGACTGCATAATGTATTGGTGGATTATGCGAGCAGAACCCAGTAAGGTGGCCTTCTGCAATTGACCAATAGTGATCTTGTCAGCACCAATTTTTTTAAAGTGCTTGCCTAGGTCTTTAGGCACAGCACCCAGTGTGCCGAGTACCACTGGAACCACCTGCATTGGTTTATGCCAGAGTCTCTGCAGTTCGATTCTCAAGTCCTGATATCTAGTGACTTTTTCAAGTTGTTTCTCATCGATTCTGCTGTCACCAGGTATGGTAATGTCGATGATCCACACTTTTTTCAACTCCACAATCATGATATCCGGGGTGTTATGTTCCAAAATTGGGTTCTATTATTATTATTATTATTATTATTATTATTATTATTATTATTATTA